ATAATTAATTAAATAAATGTTAAGTTCAACCTCTTAATATTAATTAATATTAAAAAAGTATGATAATTATATTTTTAATTTATATTTTAAAACATGTATTAATAAATTGATTAATAAAATATAAGTTAAAATTGTGTCGCTTAACACAAATCTGTGTAGCAACATTTGATTTAACATCTCATCTTTATCAAACAAAAAAACAAAAAAACAAAAAAGAAAAAAAGAAAAAAAAAAAGGAATCGAACCCAGCCACAGTGCCTTGAGTTTTGACACCTTTAGCGATTGGCCTCAAAGGCCACGTAACACACACAGTTCTTCAATTATTGAGGCGTGTGAAAGTTACGCTAGTTACATTATTTTCCCTTGAGTTTCGTGTTTTACATTGCCATTTTTATGTGAAAAATACTATAGTTATATACTTATATCAATTTATTTTTAGTAATTATAATTTGATTTTTTCATTTTTAAATAAAAAATTAATATATTATATAACTAATAATTAAAATTTTTTATCAAATAAAAATACTTAATAAAAATTTTGTAATTTGGCAAAAAAAATTTCATATAAAAAGAAAAAATTTTCAATTATTATTCATATAAATTGTTAAATTTTAATTTAAAAGTTATGTTAAAAGGATTAAAAAGTTAAATTATGATTACTATAAATGAACAAAAGAAATATATTTTTTAAGTATAACTTGAATTATAAAATATCTGTTATTAAATAGGTTAAATGTTAAATTTAGTCTTTCAACTTTAGTGAGTTGCACATTTTTGGTCCCTCAACAATTTTTTGCACTTTTTTGATCCCTCAACTCTAAGAAATGCACAACATTTGTCATTTTGTCAATTTGAGCTGTTAACTCGACTACGTGGCATTTTTTATTATTTTTTTAATGACATGGCAAGGACAACTTTAAAAACGTGTTGATATGGATTTTTTTTTATGACATTTCATCTTCTTCCTGCACCAAAGACCCTTCAATGGCTTTCACGTTGCTTGCAAACCACCAATAAGATCTGTGAACCCTAGAATGGTCTCTCACCTTCATTCTCTGCAAAATCAATCTCTCTCTGCAAAATCAATATAACTCGAGTTGGGTTGCCTCTATTGCTAGTGGGGTGAGTCCTTACAAAATAATATATCTATGAACTAGAGAATTTGAAATTCTCTGTCATTGAACCCAGCTACTGGGTTTCATTGGAGCCTCAAACCTAGCAAATGTTATCAAATCAAATTAACCTTTCAATAAATAATATCAATCAAACTCTAATCAAATTCCAACAAAAATACAATCAAACTCTAATCAAATTCCAATAAAAAATGCAATCAAATTGTAAATCGACGATCTGAGAACAATTACCCAAACTAGATTTGCGAGTGATTATAGATTCTTCGTGGGTAGAATGGAAAGAATTAGGAGATGAAGGGCTCACAGGTAATGAATGGGAAGATTGAAAAATTGGAAGAAGAAAGGATTTTTTGGTTAGATGCATGGAATTGGCTAAGCATGTTAGGTTCTCGAAACCCAGATATGTTGGGTTTCATCTGCTGGGTTCATCCACCGACCTAGGGTGGGAAAGAAAGAAAGAGAAAGAAAGAAGGGGAAGAAGAGGGATTGGGAAGGTGAGGAAGGCTGGGTTTCGTTTGCTGGGTTCATAGGAAAGAAAGACAGAGAAAGAAAGAAGGAAGGGGAAGAAGAGGGTTTGGGAGGGTGAGGGTAATAAAGTAATTGTATTTGTTTTTAATTAAAATATAATTATTAAATTATGTGGCATTTTTATTTATTTATATAATATAATTATAATATATATTATTG